CCCCCTTATTTTCCTCCACAAAAATTAATCCCCGCTATATTGTTTCGTAGCAAAGCCTGGTTACTGAGCGAGTTTAAAAATAAGATGATGGTTTAGTCCACGGAAAAGAAACGATTTAGATCTCTGCATCCTGATTAACAACCTGAATAGTTAGCCAGAAGCTCAAACATTCTAACCTGGGAATTCCTTATCCCCTAGCAAATCAAAATAAACCTTAATTAAATCCGAAGGGAGTTAATAGGGTTTTGTTTTTTTCCTTAGAAGCCAGGATGAATCCTAGAATTATCGAAGCAGGAAACATGTAGAAGCAGGGGGGAAAAAAATCTGTACCATCTTTTTATAATCTACCCCTTCCTGCTCCATCAAGTATTGGAAGATGCTCTCCTGTCTCCCCTGGTCCTTCTCTTCCCTAGACCAGCCAGGCCCAGTTCCCGCAACCGTTCTTCTTCCTATGTTTTAAGTCTCCAGGCCTTCAATCATGTCAGCCGCTCTTCTCTGCGCTATTAGCTACAGATAGTCCTGTAGGAAGGGGCCTTGGAGGTCTTCTAGTCCAGCCCCCCCCGCTCAAATAGGAAACCCTCTTCCATTTCGGACAAGTGACTGTCCAGTCTCTTCTTAAAAACCTCCAGAAATGAAGCACCCACAATTTCAGGTGGCAAGCAGTTCCACTGGTTTTCCATTGTTTTCAGTCAGGAAATTCCTCCTTAACATCTAGGCTGCTTCTCTTCTTAATGAGTTTCCCCACCTGTTGCTTCTTGTCCTGCCTTCAGGTGCTTTTGAGAACAGGTAGACGCTCCTCCTCCTCCGCTCTGCCAACCCTTCCTCAAGGGCAGGAAGACAACTTATTAGCCCTCGTTCAATAAACAGACAGGCTGCCGTCCTTGCCAGCAGCTCCCACGCAGAGCCTCATTTGCAAAGGGAGAGGCTACGGGATGAAAGGTTGCCCCGTTCCAAGAATTGCACTTCATGCTGGCTGGAGAAGAACAATGATGCACAGCCCTTAAAGGGCGTAATAATCTTGCTTCACATTCCCAAGGCACAGCGCAGGCGACAACGGGTGGAAAAACCTTTTCAAGGGGGGGGCGTTGTGGCAGTTCCAGCTTGCTTGGGGATTTATCCTTAAGGTGGTGGTGGTTGGCGGGGGGAAAACCTGTTTCAGAAGGCGACCTCGAGGTCATTTAGACTGACCCGCTGTTCAGCGCGAGGTTTATTTCGCAAAACGCCACCGTGTTATTCTGCAGATGGACGGCAAGCAACACCGAATGTTAGGGTGGCCTTTTTTTGAAACACTTCACGTCTTCGGGAATTAAACCATTTTGGGAAAATGGTTTTGAAAAATGGGCTGGGAAGCCACTTAAGTAGACGATTTAAAGCCGAATACACCGAATGAATAAGTGACTTCTGAGCAGTGTTTTCAAAACCATCTTTCTTGTGCGCATGCCTTTTTTTAAAATTTAATTTTATATTTATTTGTTTGTTTGATTTGATTTGACAAATGCTTACAAGAGAATAGGTAGAAGTATAAACGTAAGAATACAGGAAATAGGTACGAATAAATGGGGACAATAGGACAGGGATGGTAGGCGTGATGGTGCACTTATGCACGCCCCTTATAGACCTCTTAGGAATGGGGTGAGGTCAGTAGTGAATAGTTTGAAATTAAAGGAGTGGGGGTTAGAGGATGTAACAACAGTCAGGTAGTGCATATATTTTGTTATTTTTTAAATTTCTTTTCTGAAGCTCTCAAATTGATGTAGGGAGGAAAGCCCTTGACAAAGGATCATGGATTGGGAACAGAAATTCTTTTGCAGCCAGGAAATTGTTAAGCTAGCTGGTGACTTTGCGCCGGTCCCCCTTGCCCAGCCCAGCCCACCTCGCAGGGTTGTTGTGCTGGGGAAAACAGGAGGAGGGACGAGGATTAGGTAAGTTCACCACCTTGTATTATTTGTAAAAATAATAAAGGTGGGAGACAGGTAGGTAGGTAGGTAGACAAACAGACAGATAGAGGGTAGAGATAGACAGATAATGGATAGATAATGGATAGATAAATAGATAGATAGATAAGATAGATAGATAGATAGATAGATGTACATGATACATAGATGATAGAGGGTAGAGATAGATAATGGATAGATGATGGATGAATAGATGATTGATAATGGGTAGAAATAGATATAGATAAATAGATATGGGTACATGATAGATCAAGATATAGATAATGGATAGATGATAAATGATCGATAATGGGTAGAGGTAGATAGATATGGATACTAGATAGATAGATAGATAGATAGATAGATAGATAGATAGATATAGATATAGATATGTATGGGTACATGATTGATATGGGGGAGAGATAGATAATGGATAGATGATAGATAAATAGATGGATAATGGGTAGAGATAGATATAGATAAATAAATATGGGTACATAATAGATAAGAGATATAGATAATGGATTGATGATAAATAATGATGGATAGATAATGGGTAAATATAGATAGATATGGATACATGACAGAGAGAGAGAGAGAGAGAGAGAGATGGGTACATGATTGACAGACAGACAGATGGTAGAGATAAACAGATAATGAATAGATGATAAATAATGATGGATAGATAATGGATAGCTAGAGGTAGAGAGACTGACAGACATCCTTAGGAACCCCTTTTAGATCTGCTCACCAGCAACCCTGCGAGGTAGGCTGGCTTGAGCGGGCCTGGCCCAGATTCACCAAGCGGGTCCCCCTGGGCAGAGCCCTTTCCCCACTACCCCGTCCTTCCCTCCTTTCCCTATTGCTTTTGCTAGCCAGCACCCCAACCCTTCCCTCTCCATCCACCCCCCCCCCGCCCTGGAGAAAATGGCGCGCGGGCCCTTTAAGAGCAGCCCCGCCCTTTCCTTTCCCTCCCTCCCTCCCTCCCTCCGGCGCGAAGCCGGAGCGTGCCGCGCAGCCAGGATTGACCAACGCCGCCCCCCGTCGCAGGGCCCACTTCCTGTTTCCGAGGCTATAAAAGTGCCGCTTCCGGCGCCCGGCTGGTTGGTAGCGAGGCGGCGGCGGTTGTGCCTGCGGGGTTCGCGATGTGTGTCTCAGGTGCGTTGCCATGGGGACGGCGGAGGGAGGGGGGCGCGAAGCCGGGGTTGCTATGGGGACGGCCGGTGGCCCGGGAGCCGGTGGGGGGTGGGGGGAAACGAGGGCTCCCCTCGGGACGGGGTGCGGGAGGGGGGGAAACACGAACGACGAGCGTGCCTCTGAACATGTGCAGAGTGCTTTCTGCCTGGAGCCCGCTTTGGGATAAGACGGGGGGGGGGCGGCACCAAAAAATAGACCCCCCCCAAAAAAGCAAAGCCTAAATCTTCCATCTGCTCCAAATTTGACTTTTCTATTCATTTAAATTTAAACCAGCGATTTAAAATGGGGGGCGGGGGAGGAGGGGAAGGACTTCAATTCCCAGAATTCCCCAACCAGCAAAGAATTCTGGGAGTGGAAGCCCCTCCCCAATTTAAAGCAACCAGATTTTAAAATAATAATAATTTAAAGCAAACAAACCCCTAGATTTAGGGTGGGTTTGGGGGGGGAGCCATGTGGAGATAATTTGAGGAGGGGGTGGGTTGACACAGTGGGATGCCACCCCAAAATTGGGGCCCTATGGATGCCGATTGAAGAAAATATATAAAATCGAGGGAGGGAAGGCAGATTTACTTAACAACTGAGTGACTAACTTAACAACTGCAGGGATTCACTTAACAACGGCGGCAAGAAATGTCATAAAATGGAGCTTAACAAGTGCCTCGCTCAATAACATAAATTTGGGCTCAGTCGTGATCATAAGTCGAGGAGTACCTGTACATAAATATACAGGTGGACGGTGTATGTGACATCTTCATTGTCCTCCAATTTCTGTGGCTGTGAAATTGTTCCCCCCCTAAAAATGAGAATGAAAACCACCTATTAAATTCCATAAATTCTTTCTTTTATTCTCCTCTTGGGACCCATCCCTCCCCAGCCAGGAATTTGGGGTAGAAAAATAAAAATGTGCCACTCTTGACTTTGGCAATTTTTTTTCGGAGTATTCAGTTTGACGGGTGGCTTTTAAAACGATATCCCAGGCTTTTTCCGTGTATATATTTTACAGTTTGCGATGTGTTTTTTTCCCATTCCAATGAAAAGAGAATATTCGTTGCTCAGGCTAGAACTTGTATGTGTGTGTGTGTCCCCGTCTTTGGGGCTCTCTGAGCTTTGTGGTTTTCTTGGCAGACATCTCATGACCCAAACTAGGTAACATCATCAGTGCCGCTTTTTGGGTTGGTTTCATTTTTGCTGTACAAATCGGCCACGTTGGTAAAGAGGGACAGCCCTGCCAGTCGGAGAGGTGGATGAATATTTGGGATTGCACTTTGTCCTTGTCATTTTTCCTGCTTTTTAAAAAGGCTGCACAAAAGTGACACGTAAGGAGATCCAGCGAGCAGCGGAAGCAAATCTTGAAAGCAGAATAAACGTGGGCAGCTGGAAGGTGCGGCCACATAAAAGCCACATTTGAGCCCCAACCGCTATACGTTAAACTCTCGCCCACAACTAAATTAAATGTCTCAACAGGCTTGCAAAAAGTCTTTGTTACGATACCTCAAGAGGGCATTTCCTCTCTGTGAGCAAGCAATCAACGAGCAATCTCAAGATCAGGAATATTTTTCCAAAACGTGGCTTTGTCCTCACGTGGCTTATCTTTGCAATAATAGAGAGAGAATCAAGATTGCAAGAAATTCTAATACAGCTTTACAAAGCTTTAGTAAGAGCCCACTTGCAATATGTCTACGAAGATTAGTTTAGTTTAGTTTAGTTTACCTTATTGTCATTGTACGTCGTACAATGAAATCAAACACCATCTTCAGTGCGCATCATGTCCATGAAAATAAACACAAAAACACACCTCCTTCACATTCTGTACAATTGAATGGAAAACCCTTGATATTGCATTCATATTGCGCCATACAGTGGAATTCAACAGAGCTACTGCCCTGGGATAGAAGCTGTTTTTCAGCTTATTTGTCCTTGTTTTATTATTCTGTACGTCTGCCAGATAGTCATAGTTCACAAAAAGGCGGTGCCCAGGATGAGATGGATCTTTAAGGATGTTTTGAACCTTCTTAAGGCAGCGGGACCTATAAGGCTCTTCCAAAGAGGGGAGAGGGCAACCCATGATCCTCTGAGGGGCAATGACGTTAACCCTCTGGAGTGACATCCTATCTGCCCCGGTGCGATTGGCAAACCACTGGTTAATTGTCCTCACTATTAGAAAGTTTCTCCTTAATTCCCAGTTGCTTCTCTCCTTAATTAGTTTCCATCCATTGTTCCTTATCCTGCCTTTCAGGTGCTTTGGAGCATAGCTTGACTCCCTCTTCTTTGGGGGCAGCCCCTCAGATACCGGAATGCTGCTGTCATGTCCTTTTTTCCATTAAACGTAGACATACCCAGTTCCTGCAACCGTTCTTCATAAGTTTTAGCCTCCAATCCCCTAATCATCGTGGTTGCTGGATGATTCTCCAGTCATCCAAGTCATGGTTTGTCCCAGAAGGTGTTTTTTCCAGAGGCAACTGGACTTTTGTTTGGAAAACCAGCTATCTTTTGGAAAAAGCACTGTTGGAACACACCTGGAATACTGCATCCATATTGTGAGCGGCATATTGGAGCAATGGATGGAAACTGACCAAGGAGACGAAGCCACTTGGAATTCAGGAGAAATATCCTGACAGTGAAAACAATTAGCCAGTGGAACTGCTGGCTATCAGAAGTTGTGGGTTCTCCATCCCTGGAGGTTGGGTTAGTCTAGTCTAGAGAAAAGAAGAATTAGGGGTGACATGATAGCAACATTCCAGTATCTGAGGGGCTGCCCCCAAAGAAGAAGGAGTCAAACTATTTTCCAAAGCACCTGAAGGCAAGATAAGGAACAATAGATGGAAACTAATTAAGGAGAGAAGCAATTAAGGAGAAACTTCCTAATAGTGAGGACAATTGAACCAGTGGAACAGCTGGCCACTAGAAGTTGTAAATGCTCTAACCCTGGAGGCTTTTAAGAAGAGATTGGACAGCTGCTGGTCTAGAAGACCTCCGAGGTCCCTTCAAAACTCTTATTATTGTATGTCCCTTCTTTATTTCTTTTCAATTATAACAGGGTTAAGCTTGAAGAAATCCGGGGCGTTCCTGAAAGCCTTGAAAGGCGAACCTCGCTATCGCCTGGCCCAGAATGTGGCTACGTCAACGGATTTCCTGGATGGAAGCCTCGACCGGGACGTTCTCCAAAACACCCTGCAGGTCTTCCAGCACGCGGTGCCGGCCGAAGGGAAGCCGGTCACCAACCAAAAGAATTCAGGTAAACCGCTGTCCGCATCGACAGCCTAGTCCTCGATTTGTGACCACCATTAAGCCCCAGAAAGGGAGGGGTGCGGTGGCCTAGAGGCGGAGATCTCTCACGTCCCAATCGGGAGGCTGTGAGTTCGATCCTAGGGGTCGAGACAGATATTTCTCTCCCTGGACCCAGTGTTGAACAAAACTCCGTACTGGCAACGGGTAAGGCATCCAGCCAGGAAATTACTCTGCTAGCTCCATTCCCTGCAAGGGATTATGGGGGTCGTTAAAAGAGGATGAAGGGATGCAGTGGCTAAGACACTGAGCTTGTCGGTCAGAAAGGTTGGCCGTTTGGCGGTTCGAATCCCTAGCGCTGCGTCGCAGAGCGAGCTCCCGTTCCTTGTCCAAGCCGCTTCTGCCAACCTAGCAGTTCGAAAGCGTGTAGAAAAAAAATGCGAGTAGAAAAATAGGAACCCCTTTGGTGGGAAGAGGACAGCGTCCCGTATGCCTTCAAAGGTGTTTAGTCATGTCAGCCACAGGACCACGGAGACGTCTTCGGACAGCGCTGGCTCTTTGGCTCTGCGACAGACCTGAGCACTGCGCCCTAGAGCCGGAAATGACTAGCACGTAGGTGTAAGGGGAACTTTTACCTTTTTTTACTTTTTAAAAAATGAGGAATTGAGGCACAGAAAGTTCCGTTGCTAAGCGAGACCATCATCAAAGCAAGTCCTGCCCCGTTTTTTTCCACCTTTCTTTGACCCGGTTGTTCAGTTGAATCGCTGCAGCGGTTAAGTTAGTCCCACGGTTGTTAAGTGAATCTGTCTTCTGGGAAAGATCCCGGGACCCCGGGACACTGTGACCGTCATAAATATGAACCAGTTGCCAAGGGTTCTGATTTTGATCAGGGGATCAGAGAGTCACTAAGTGTGAATAAGCAGAGATAACAGATAATCAGAGTCGGAAGGGACCTTGTAGGTCATCTAGCCCAACCCCCTGCCCAAGCAGGAGACCCTACACCATTTCTGACAGATGGCAGTCCAGTCTCTTCTTGGAAGTCTCCAGGGATGAAGCTCCCGCAACTTCTGAGGGCAACTTCTGTTCCATGGGTTGATTGCTCTCACTGTCAGAAAGTTTCTCCTTATTTCCAGGTTGAATCTCTCCTTGTTCAGTTTCCATCCATTCTTCCTTGTCTGGCCTTCAGGTGCCTTGAAGAATAGCTTGACCACCCTCTCTCCTCTCTGTGGCAGCCCCTCAAATATTGGAAGATGTTCTCCTGTCTCCCCTGGTCCTTCTCTTCCCTAGACCAGCCAGGCCCAGTTCCTGCAACCGTTCATTGCATGTTTTAGTGCCCTCATCATCTGTTTTATAGTGTGGTGACCAAAACTGGATGCAGGATTCTAGGCGTGGTCTTACTAAGGATAGATAGACAGACAGACAGATAGACAGACATGATAGATAGATCGATAGACATGATATAGATGGATAGACAGACACGATTGATTGACGGACAGACCTGCCAGGCCCAGTTCCTGCAACCATTCTATGTATGTTTTGGTCTCCAGTCGCTTCATCATCCTGGTTGCTCTTCTCTGCACTTTTTCCAGACTCTCAACCTCTTTTTTATAGTGTGGTGACCAAAACTGGATGCAGGACTCTAGGTGTGGCCTTACTAAGGCTTTACAGAGTGGTATTAGTACCTCCCTTGACCTCGATTGTATCCCTCTGTTAACGCAATTTAGGATTGCATTGGCTTTTTTGGCTGCTGCTGCATAACATTGGCTCCTATTTAGCTGGTTGTCCACTAAGACTCCAAGATCCCTCTCCAAAAAAAATGGTCTCAAGCCAGTTTTTTTTCAGGGCCATTGTAACTTTGGACGGTTGCCAAACAAAATGTAAGTTGAGGACTAGCTATAATTTTTTTAAAAATTATATTTTTATAAACCTGCTCAGACCTGCCTCTACCTGAAAGAGAGAGTAGGAGGTTACCTCCACCTGTTGGCTCTTTTTTTCCCCTGGATCGTAACCATCTCAGGGTACCGTTCCAGTCCCCACCCAAAAAGCCTTTATTTTTATTTATTCCGTTTTTATAGCCACCCATCTTATTCCAGCGACTCTGGCCTGCTGACAAAGCTCTAAGCGTATTAAAACAATTAAATACATTTAAACAAATTAAAAAATATCCAAGCAGCTGAGATAATTAGCCAATAAAGAGTTATTAAGAAAAAACAAGGCCCTCTCGACTCATTCAGTGCCCCGGGCTGGGGAAGACAGCCAAGTTTTGAAGGTTTTTAAAAAAACCCTCACCAAAGGTCCTCGACTTATGACCGCAAACCGAGCCCGGAATTTCCGGTTGCTAAGTGAGGCAAGGGAGTTTTGCCTCATCCTAGGACCTGTGGTTAAGTCGGTCACGCGGTTCTTAAGTGAATCCGGCTCCCCCATCGATGTTGCTTGTCAAAAGGTGACCCAAAGGGGATCCTATGACCCTCCCCCCCTCCAGGGAGATGTGACCGTCATAAATGTGAATCAGCTGCCAAGCTGGCAGTTTTGATCCCGTGACCGAGGGGGATGTAGTCAGCCGGCAGTGTGCAAAGCGGTCCTAAGCCACTCTTTTCGGGGCCATTGTAACTTTGAACGGTCACTAAACGAATGGCGTAAGTCGAAGGCGTCCTCTGAGGGTTCCCA